GGGTCAAAATTCACGCTCCCCAACTCTGACAGAGAAGCGCTACTGAAAATGAAAAAGAAAAAAAATCACCCTCACAGAAGGAAGAGAATAACTATTGGTTGAAGCAGAATAAACCTCGGTGCACGGAAACGTATTTACGTGACTTGGAGAGACCTTTTTTTCCCTTTGACACACAGGAGTTGCTGCACCAGATACAGAGTAATGGTTCGGGTCATCTCTGTTAGCAGCTAATGCCGGATGCCCCCGAGAAAAGCACAATCCCCCTATAACGCCCCCAACTGTGCGGCCCTATAAGAAGTGTCTCCTCAGCCAACTAGGCAGGGATCACTTTGTGACCGGAAGCAGGAGACTGGCCTGCAGGATCTGAGAAAGACCTGCAAGAGCAGGAGACAGGTGGCGGCCCTCTTCCTGAACGTGGGACAGCATTTGAGAGCAGTGAATTTTAAATCCCCCCTCCTTGCATTTTTAACTCCGCCGGACCGTAGCTTAAGGTGGGACAGACGGCAAGGGGATTATGTTACTTCAGCCGTTGCAATTCTACAGAGCCTTTTATTGGGGGGATCTCAAAAGACCTGCCAGCAGCAGTGACCCATCTAGATGAACGAAGAGAACTGGGCGTTCGAAACTCCCAAGTTCTAATCATAACCCGGCCTCGGGGAAGACACTTCAAGTCGGTGTCTCATTTTCCCCCGGCTGTCCAGACACGAACTAGTTCCGTTTTACAACACCCGTGTGACTGTCAGACTCAAAGCAGCACACGCTTGCACCCGTAAAAGTACGGTCATTTCACAGAGGTGGAAACTGACACTCAAAAAGCTTACGAGACTGTCCAGAGTCACATCGCAAAGTCACTGGAAGAGCTGGAAAGAGAACCCAGGAGTCCTGGCCTATACTGTAACCCTATCTTACTGCAATGGGATATATCCATCATATCTGTACCCCGTTACTGTTGTATCTGAGCCGCTCACAACCTGTGATGTATTTACCCTCGCTACCTCCCCGTGGGCTAAGTGGTTTTAGTCCTGCTTTACACATGGGAAAGTGAGGCGCAAAGGGACTAAGGCCCATTTCCCCAAAAGTACTTGAAATCAATGGTCATTAGGAGCCTGAACACCTTCATGGACCTGGGCCTAAGCGACCTGCCCGAGATTATATAGGACGTTTCTGGCAGAGCAGGGAACTTATCCCAAGGCTCCCGTGTCACAGACTAGTGCCCTAACCATTGCACCATCCTTCCTCTCTGGAAATCGGCCTCCTGGAACTGCACCACCAGGCCTAGAGGCTTTGCCCTCCAATTCCCTGGCTGGCAGATCCGCAGCTGATCTTCTTCCTTCTCTCCTCCAGTTAGAGTCGGAAACGGAGACAGAGTGAACTAACATAGGGCATCCAGACTGGATGAGATGAGAAGAGTTTAAAGGGGAATAAACTAGGGCTTTTCCCCCCATTATGATTCTGCCTGTGTTTGTTTTTAGGAGTGGGTTTTCCCTGCTCTTTTCTGTGTTTTAGCCCTTCACCATCCCCAAAGTGAAGGATACCTGACTTACTGTACCCCAGACAGGTTTCAGAGTAGCAGCCGTGTTAGTCTGTATCCGCAAAAAGAAAAGGAGGACTTGTGGCACCTTAGAGACTATCAAATTTATTTGAGCATAAGCTTTCATGAGCTAGAGCTCACTTCACCGATGAAGTGAGCTGTAGCTCACGAAAGCTTATCCTCAAATAAATTTATTAGTCTCTAATGTGCCACAAGTACTCCTTTTCCTTTTTTTGTACCCCAGACGCCTCTCTCTTACCTAACCCCCAGGGCGCAGAGTCAGAGGGCAAAGCAAAAAACAGGAATAATAACGAAACCTTGTCTACACAACAAGAATGACCTGTTGTTGAAAATGGGCATACGGAAGCGAGCCGAAGCAGTGTTGAACCTGATTTAGATACAAGTGCAGACCGCAGCAGGTTTCAGCAGCGGTTCAGTGCTTCACCAGTGCCTACATCTGTTGTCAGCAACAAAGTGTTTGTATAGAGCAGACCAGTCTGCATCAGACTGACTCAGCCTCCCCTTCTGAGGAGCAGAAAGTGAAAGCACACCCAGACATTCCCTGCCAATCTCAAAACACACACGTCAAGGAAAGAGCTGTGCTCTCCCAAGAGCCTTCTTCCAAGACTCACAGTCTAGCCATCCTTGCAGAGGATACTAGGGCACGTGGTTTTCTTGACACATACTTCACATGCTCTTTTGCTTTGGTTCTGGGGCGTGACACAAAATTAGGGTGAAACCAGATCCAGGATCAGAAATGCAACTGAAGGGCCTGGAAAGCACTTGGAGAGGAAAAGTACAAATGTAAAGACTTATTAGCAATGCGAAAGATTACAGTAACCTTTGACGCAAAGCAGCCACTTAGCAGGGGTGAGGATGTGAGAAATATTGGATGCCCATCTGAAAAGTGTAAAGCAGATAGTCATGGACCTGAGCAAAGGAAAAGCCCTAATATACTCAACTCCTATACAGCACTTTTCATCAGCAGATCTCAACGCTCTTTCCTAAGGAGGTCAGTACCATTGTACAGATGGGGAAACTGAGGCACTGAGCTCCTCCAATCTATCTCCCTGAGGCCATGGCAGGATTATTCCCTCCAGGACTTTTAAAACTAGACCATACAACCCACAAAAGGTCACAAGGGTGGGGCTTCCACCAAGTCCCCAAGGAGACTATCCCACAGCGATCAATGGGAGATGGTTTCTGGCAGTCACTGAATTTTGGGGTGGGCTTGACCAGGAGACATGGAGGGATCTGGGAAATGACTGTTATTTTGAATAGAAATAGATATATCGAAAATAACCTGAGGTTTAAACAATTGGAACTGGGCAAATGCAAGAATCCAATTCATACAGCTGTTCCCTAGCTATGTGATCCTGGGATTTTATCAGTCACCTTGAGCCACCCCCGTACTGTTTATTAGACCCACTCCTTGCATCCTGACTTCAGTTAGACCCTGATCCTGAAAATGTATTCAGAGGCACATCTGAACAGAGCTTCTTACCAGATCAAAGCCTGGGATATCAGCTCTTCAGGGCAGGGATTGCGCTTGTGCATTTGTAGAGCACCTAGCACAATAGGACACCGATCCTGACCGGGGAGCGTAAGGGCTGCTTGGTCAAATCCGTCCTGAGATCCATCTGGTTCCATATCCTGTCACTGACTGCGGCCAGCGCTGGCTGCTTCAGAGGAAGGCGTAGCACCTGTCCCCCCATTAGGTCTCATTCCCGCCTCTAATAATTGGATATTGGATTGAGCCCTGAAGCATGATTTAATCTCCCTTTCAAGATGTTTGTTGCTTGCACAAGATGAACAGTTGATAACAACCAGGAAGACTTCTCTGATACACAACCTAGAGCTCTCCCCTCGGCTAATTTCATCCTTTTGCTTTTACTTTCACCTGCCTTTATCACCCTAAAGCATTCTGCTCCTTCTAGGCCCGGAACAAGCCTTCTTTCTGATGGCCAGGGTCGCAGTTCAGAGCGAGGTCAGCAGAACACGGATCTAACCAACCCCTCACTTTGCTTCTTCCACACCACACCACAGAAAGGTTTCTTTCGGCTAGGCGACATCTCGTTTATTTCGCCGGGGGGAGGGTGTGGGAGAGTCAGCAATTCCGGCTGCCTCCAGAATGGGCATTTGACCTGCACATTGCAGCACGGAGAGACACGCCAGGGCACAGAACGCACAAGCGACAGGGCGGGGGGAGGACAAGGACGGCGTCGGAGCTCACGTTTACAAGTCAAAACAGAAGGGCAGAGTTAGGCACAAAACTCTGAGCAAACCACACCTCCCAGCCAGAAAAGGGATATTTATATTTTAAAGGCAGCTACAAAACAAATGACTCATCCAGTGAGAGGCTGAGAGAAGGGGGAAGGGCCAGGACCTGGCTACACAACAGTTTGTTGGGTAACAAAAACTGAAGGTGGCCTTATCCCTTTCCCCTGGCGCTTCAGCCATCACCACACACACGGGGCTGCTCCTCCTTCAAACGCACCCACTAACCCGAGCTGCAGCAAGTCCTGCCCCTCCCGCAAATCAAGTACACTCCCCCCCAGGCCTGCACCTACCCCTTTCCCCTCCATCACTGCCTAAAATCCACCCACCCCAGGGTCACACCTACCCGTCTGACCCCTCCCAATCTCCCCCACCCAAAGTCTGCTCCTACCCCAAAGCAGGCAGCCCCCTGAGCTGCACCAACACCATCCCCCACAGGACTCCAGCTACCCCTTGCCCCCTGCCTTCCCAAATCAACCCCCCCGCCCCAGCTGCAGCTACCCCTCCCAAATCAAACACCTGCTGCCCGAGGGCTCCAGCTACCCCTGTCCCCCTCCCTTCCCAAACCAAACACCCCCTCCCTCTGTCCCCCTAAACCAAACATCCCCCTCCCCCCAGGCACCAGCTACCCCTTCCCCCCCTTCCCAAATCAACCCCCCCCGCAGCTACCCCCCCCCAAATCAAACACCTGCTGCCCTAGGGCCCACCCCTGTCCCCCTCCCTTCCCAAACCAAACACCCCCTCCCTCTGTCCCCCTAAACCAAACATCCCCTCCCCTCAGGGCACCAGCTACCCCTTGCCCCCTGCCTTCCCAAATCAACCCCCCGCCCCAGCTGCAGCTACCCCTCCCAAATCAAACACCTGCTGCCCGAGGGCTCCAGGTACCCCTGTCCCCCTCCCTTCCCAAACCAAACACCCCCTCCCCCCAGGGCACCAGCTACCCCTTGCCCCCTGCCTTCCCAAATCAACCCCCCCCGCAGCTACCCCTGCCCCCCCTCAAATCAAACACCTGCTGCCCGAGGGCTCCAGCTACCCCTGTCCCCCTCCCTTCCCAAACCAAACACCCCCTCCCTCTGTCCCCCTAAACCAAACACCCCCTCCCCAAATCAACCCCCCCCCCCCCCAGGGCGCCAGCTCCCCCCGCCCCCGCCCAGCACGGCGCAGGCGGCCGCCCCCGGCGCCGCTCGCTCACAGGCCTGCACCACGTCCAGGAAGCGGCCGCCCTGCGCCCGGTCCCGCAGCTGCAGCTGCCGGACGATGTGACGCTTCCAGGACCTGCCGCCGCCGCTCCCCGCCGCCTCGGCCATGGCTGCGGCCCTGGGCGGCCGGGCTGCGTCCGCGCGGGGAGGGAACCCTCCTGACGTCACCAGCGGGGGAAGCCCCCGGCGGGCCCAGCCCCAGGGAGGGGGCCCTGCTCGGCCCCGCCCCGTGCACGGAGCCCGGCCCGCCCCGCACCAGAGGGACTGGGGGAGCCCGGCCTGCCCCATGCACGGAGCCCGGCCCGCCCCACACCAGAGGGACTGGGGGAGCCCGGCCTGCCCCATGCACGGAGCCCGGCCCGCCCCGCACCAGAGGGGCTAGAGGGGCCCGGCCCGCCCCACGCTAGAGGGGCCCGGCCTGCCCCTGCACGGAGCCCGGCCCGCCCCGCACCAGAGGGACTGGGGAGCCCGCCTGCCCCATGCACGGAGCCCGGCCCGCCCCGCACCAGAGGGACTAGGGGAGCCCGCCTGCCCCATGCACGGAGCCCCCCGCCCCGCACCAGAGGGGCTAGAGGGCCCGCCTCCCCACACCAGAGGGGCTAGAGGGGCCCGGCCTCCCCGTGCACGGAGCCCGGCCCGCCCCGCACCAGAGGGGCTAGAGGGGCCGCCTGCCCCGTGCACGGGCCCGGCCCCCCCACACCAGAGGGGCTGGGGAGCCCCCTCCCCATCACGGGCCCGGCCCCCCGCCCCCACCAGAGGGGCTAGAGGGCCGCCTCCCCATGCACGGAGCCCGCCCCCCCGCACCAGAGGGGCTAGAGGGGCCCGGCCTCCCCGTCACGGACCCTGCCCGCCCCACACCAGAGGGGCTAGAGGGGCCCGGCCCGCCCCACGCTAGAGGGGCCCGGTCCGCCCCACACCAGAGAGGCTAGAGGGGCCCGGCCCGCCCCACACCAGAGGGGCTTGAGGGGCCGGCCCGCCCTGTGCACGGAGCCCGGCCCGCCCCACACCAGAGGGGCTAGAGGGGCCCGGCCTGCCCCGTGCACGGAGCCCGGCCCGCCCCACACCAGAGGGGCTAGAGGGGCCCGGCCTGCCCCGTGCACAGGCCCGGCCCGCCCCACACCAGAGGGGCTAGAGGGGCCCGGCCTGCCCCGTGCACGGAGCCTGGCCCGCCCCACACCAGAGGGACTGGAGGAGCCTGGCCTGCCCTATGCACGGAGCCCGGCCCGCCCCACACTAGAGGGGCCCGGCCTGCCCCACACCAGAGGGGCTAGAGGGGCCCGGCCTGCCCCATGCATGGAGCCCGGCCCGCCCCACACCAGAGGGGCTAGAGGGGCCCGGCCTGCCCCACACCAGAGGGGCTAGAGGGGCCCGGCCCGCCCCACACCAGAGGGGCTAGGGGCCGCCCGCCCTTCACAGACCCGCCCCCCCACACCAGAGGGGCCTAGCCCGCCCGCCCCAGCACAGAGCCCGGCCCGCCCCACACCAGAGGGGCTAGAGGCCCAGCCTGCCCCGTGCACGGAGCCTGGCCCGCCCCACACCAGAGGGACTGGAGGAGCCTGCCTGCCCTATGCACGGAGCCCGCCCGCCCCACACTAGAGGGCCCGCCTCCCCACACTAGAGGGGCCCGGCCTGCCCCGTGCATGGAGCCCGGCCCGCCCCACACCAGAGGGGCTGGAGGAGCCCGGCTGCCCCATGCACGGAGCCCGGCCCACCCCGCAGCGGAGAGGCTGCAGTCTGGCCTGGCCCCAGCAGGAGAAGGGGAGCTGAGTGCAGGACGCTGGGCTGGGTAGACCCCCACACACACACTGACCCTGCTTGACCCTAAAGGGCAGGAGACCATTGCAGGGGCCGTGTGGCTCTCTGAGCCCCAGGCCCATCTCTGGGGCAGGCACCGCCCGCACTGGCCCCGTTCCCTCGGGGAGCCCAGCCTGGCCGAAGCTCTGCACACCCCAGATCATGCCCCCGGGGCTGGCAAGGGCACATGCTGTGGCCAGGCTGCCTGGGCAGCAGGGACAGAAGCCCCGTTCTTCTCTGTGCTGCGCGCCCCCGGGCCGTGGCCCCAGTCCAGCAACCACAGCCTAATGGCTTTCTGTAGGGCTCTTCACAGGTGGGTCCCAGACTGTGCCGTGAGCGCCAACCACCAGAGAATTATTTTCTCTCCGTTGATCTGGACCATGTTAGTTTGTAACCCCCATGTAGACATGTCGGAGAACTGTGGACAGGAACCAAAGCCACCAATCTGAACAGCCAGCCTGGAAGGGCTCAGTGCTAGACCCAGCCGCTCCCAGTTCTGCGATTGGAGCCCATCTTCAGTGAATGTCCTTCTAGGGATCCAGCTCTCCCCAGTGGCTCTCAGATGGAGCAAGTGGAGCGTGGGACCCAACCTCAGGACAGGCTGTTAAGAACCAGGGCACAAACCCCAAACTGGCAGTGAGTTCTATACGTAGATTTCACCAACCAAGTATCAAGTGTAAACTCCTCAGGCACTAAAGTGGCCTAACTGTGGAGTCACAGACAGTCCCCGTGGGTACTCTGATCTGTCTCACCATGCAGGCGAGCCTGCCTTTGCGATAGATGGTCCCTTACACCAACGATCACAGCAACATTCAGGTTACTCCCAGTCTCAAAGGGTCAGTCACCCCGGTCTGCTCAACCTAAGATCTTTACACCGAAGACAATGCTTTTAGCCAATCCTGTAAGAAACTATATACAGATTTATTAAATAGGAAAAGGAACGAGAGTTATTGGCAAGGTTAAAGCAGGTAAGCAGAGACACAAATGAGTTGCAATCTTAAGTTTCAAAAGGTAATAGAAGTGCCTATAATAAGCAAGCTCTGTTTAGGGCTAACCCAGGCTAAGCACTGAGGACCTCTTGCTTATGCCTGGTAAACCTGCCCCCAATTCCAAGCAGCACAGAGATACTCTTAGCATTGTGCTCTGAGCTGCAAGCTCAGCTGATGGGAGGAATCCCCTTGCATGACTCATCTTCACGTGGTGTGGAGGGCAAAACAACAAATGTCTTCCGTCCTCCTTATCATCCTACAATAGTCTGTCTGGTGTCGCTGGACCCATGAGGCAGGACGTAACACTTTCGGTTGCAGATCAGCACTTTGCACCAGTCAATGTCTCTCTCCTTTTTGGCGATTTACACAGTCACAGAGGCTTACCATACAACTGCTCAACTATTACTTTCCAATAGGGGGTAGAGCTGTTATAGGTGAGATTAATGAAGGCAGCGACTCACAAGCATTCAATAACTTCTAAGCACGAACCATTGTCATTCAAATACCTATTTTAACAACACTGCCACAACAGGCGAGCCAGCCTGATTCCAGCTCGGCATTTGCCAGTGTTCATCTGAGGCATGGGGTCCTTGGCATGAGCTGGCACCTGGTCTGCCAGCGTCACATTCCCAGTGCAAAAATGGTGAAGGGACTCTTGAATATGCCTCCGGGTTCCCTATTCTTGATAAGGCACCTGCCACTATGTTTTCTTTTCCCTTGCTATGAGCTATTACCATGTCATACTCCTGCAAAGCTAGCCTGCAGTGTAATGCCTCAAATTGGTCCGTGTGGCTTGGTGCAACCATATTACAATATGTTAGAATAGGTTAGAGAATTGTTTAGTAAAATTTCAGTAAAATGATTGGTTAAAGTAGAGCTAAGCAGGACTTAAGTTTCACTATATAAACTGTGGTCCAAGAAGGAGACCAGCAGGAGGAAAGAAGAATAAGAAAAGGGAAAGACCTAGAAGAAGAAGAACTCGCCTCTAAGACATAGCCTAAGATCAGAACTGCCAAGAATCCTCTGCACGACCACGATGTGAAGCGACCACAATCCAGATGAGACTGACCTTGCCTGGCCAAAAGGGAAAGTCCGTCTGCATGATCAGGATTGGTTAGCACAGCATTGTATGCTTAGCATGTGTAATCTGCTTGATAATTATTAATAAATAGAGGATAAGGATATTACTGTGTAGGGCTCTTTCACTGATAAAAGGTCCTGCAACTCTGCAAAGAGTACACCCTGAGCCCTAGGAACTGGGTAAGGGTGGGTACTTAAATTAACAGGGTTACGCCTTGAGACCTAGAAACTGGGTAAAGGTGGGTGCCCCTAGAGTGTGTGAGTAACAGAATTTTGTGCAGGTAACATTTCCATTATGCAGATAAGATGTAAATTGTTTAATAGCCTAAACTATGGCATAACATTCTCTCTCGATGACAGCATAGTTCTGTTTGGTGGGGGTCAACTTTTTACTTAAGAAGTCAACGGGGGGGCTCTTGTCCTCCACCCCAGCCTGCATTAGCCCTGTGCCTAACCCAACATTAGAAGCATCAGTGCACACCACAAAGGGTTTGCTGAATTCGGGGCTTATGAAAACTGGCTCTGTAGACAAAGCCTTTTGTATGTCCTTGAAGCCTTCCTCCCAGGCCTCAGTCTGCATCACACAGTCTGGCTTCCCCTTTTTTGTAAGGTTTGTTATGGGGGCACAATTTCATTAACTCCCTTTACAAACCTCCAGTAATAGCTGACCAGACCAATAAAGGATTGGATCTGCTTCTTGGTTTGTGCAACAGACCAATTTTGAACGGCTTCTTAAAGACTCAGTGTGAACAAACCCACTGCCCCACCTTGTGTCCTAAATCAGGTACCTCCCCGGCCCCCATCTTGCCTTTGGACGCTGTGACAGTGAGGCTGGCTTCTCTAAGCCTCTGCAATACCATTCCCATGTGGCTCAGGTGGGTCTTCCAGGGATCACTAAAAATAGCCAAGTCGTGTACATAGGCCCTGGCGAAGACCTGTAAGCCCTGCAGTACCTCACTGACAAGCCTCTGAAAGGTAGCCCTGCACTAATTAATCCAAAGGGCATAACCTTAAACTCAGATCGGCCAGATTCCACTGCAGAAGCTGACTTCCTGGGCATCAGAATCTAAGGGAATTTGCCAATATCTGCGAGTCCAATCCAGAGTGCTAATGAATTTTGCTTCCCCGGTAGATCTAGCAGGTCCGCTGTCTGTGGTGTAGGGTAAGGGTCAGGTTGGGTGATGATGTTGACTAGATATGACCAGGGGTATTTCTGCCTGTTTAGATTTCGGTTCCATAATCCCCACCATTTGCTCTGACCCCATAACCATGGGAGTGGAACATCCAAATCCAGCGTAAAG